CGTGCGTGCCCAAGATCCTGAGAGGAGAATGGAGGAGAAGGGATTGTGGAGTGGCCATCCCCCCTGGGGGGTGATTTCTCGCTTTCTGTCTCTCTGTCTCTCTCTGTCTTTCTGGCAAGTGCACGTGCCCTATAGCAAAAACCTCTCAAAAAAAAAAAAAAGTCACTGTTAGCCACTCATGTTGTCACTGTCCTCATCTCACAAATAGCTCCACTACCATCTTCCCCACCAGGTCTCCATCCGACAACTTCGTCACTTCATCCTGATCCTCCCCCTTCACTCCACGTACCTAGACCTCCTCTTCCACCCAAGTAAAGCATTCATCCTCACCTCTGGCCACTGCTCTTCCCTACCCGCAATGACCATCCATGATCCAAATGCTGCCCATCTTTTGAGACTCAGCTCCAAGGGACCCTGTGGAGACACCCCCTAGCCCTGTCAAGGACTGTCCCTCTCTACGATCTGTACGACACTTGGAGGTGTGAATCCGCACTGCATTACTCACTTGGCTCAGCTGGGTGAAGTTTCTGCTCCTCTCCCTTTTTTTTAATGCATCTATGCACCCGCCCATTAACACCCAACCATAGAGTCTCACGCCCAAGTCCTCAAGCTCTTCCTAATTAAACACTGAATGGCACCAGGATAAGGGGCTGCAGGAAGTCCTGCTTGATTCTGGCAGCAAGAGAGCTGCTGGGAATTTAAATTCTCACTTCTGTGCATTGGCCAATTCCTTCGGCTCTGCACTGACATCGGGGCAGAGAAAATACTTAGTAACAGTGAGCTAACGCCGACCACTGTTGAGTCAGCAAAGGGACACAGTGGCTTCCAAAGGTTTGAGCGGCGGGCCCGTTGGTACTCACCAGTCAGCAATGCATCCAGTTATTAGGTAGCCAAAGATTAATCCAACCAGTAAGGAGAACTTAGCGATATGGACCTTCCAGGCATTATCACACACAAGATCCCACTAGAGAGGGGCAAATAGAAAATAAGTCAGAGAGAAACATACACAGAGCTGGTTGAACTCAAGCACAAGGGCAATACAACAACCCCATCAGGATCGGGCACGGTCATCAGTGCCACGTCACACACACCATTGCGAGTCTCTTTCCAGAAGCCTTTGAAAAATCCAATGAGGAAGCATTGTGGTTCAGTGGTAGAATTCTCGCCTGCCATGTGGGAGGCCTGGGTTCAATTCCCAGCAAATGCATTGCTCGGTTATTCTTTGGGACCAGCAGTTGGTGTAACGGTTATGTTGCTGGACTCCCGTGTGGTCAACTGTGGTTCGAGTCTCAGACCTGGTGGCTTAAACTCACGCTGGGCGCTTGTGCGTGCCTGCCCAGGATCCCGAGAGGAGAATGGAGGAGAAGGGATTGTGGCATGGCCATCTATCATGAGGGGTGATTTCTCACTTTCTGCCTCTCTGTCTCTCTCTGTCTTCCTGGTGAGTGCATGCACCCTAAAGTAAAAACCTCTCCAAAAAAGCAAAAACAAAAACAAAAACACAAAAAAAACAAAAACCAAAATCCAATGAGAAGTACTGTCTTCCCATGAAGGGAGAAGCTGTAGTCTGGGACAGATTACAAGTCTGGAGGGTGATGCATGAAGTTTGGAGACATGCGTTCTTTCTGTATCACTCATCACGGGAGATGTAAACTGAGGGACAGGGCAGTAGTCAAGGGGCCTGGCATCCCTGACTACCCGTGCTCCCTCACCCAGAAGAGCTTCCACAATGCTCCAGGAAATAGAAGGCCCTGACGCCTCTTGCTCAGGGTATCAAAATGACATGAAGAAATGAAAAGTAGCTTTTACATTTTCATCCCAAAACATTCCCCAAACTTTGCAAGTCGTCTTCAAAATAAAGGCAGGAGGGGCTGACAGATGGTGGTTACATTGCTGGACTCCCACCTGGCCGACCATAGTTCTAGTCCCAGACCTGGCCTGAAACTCACACCAGGTATGTGTGCATGTGTCCAAGATCCCGAGAGGAGAATGGAGGAGAAGGGATTGTGGCCTGGTCATCTCCCTTGGGGTATGATTTTTCACTTTCCCTTTCACTATTTCTGTCTCTCTCTCTCTGGCTAGCACATGTACTCTAAGGCAAAAATCTCTAAGAAGAAAAAAAAAGATATAAAAAAACAAACGGTTGGAGAGGGGTGGCCCAGGAGTAATGAAATGTTCTGAGAGGGTTAAGCCACATGGGAAGATTCCAAGTTCCATCCAGAGAACTCCCTGAGTATTCCAGGCATGTACATATAGGCCCACAATTTGGGGCTGGCTGAGGGTGGGAGTGGGTCACAGAGTGAAGATCCCGTGAGAGGTTCTTTCTTTCCTCTTCACAGGAGAAAGAAATAAAGACAAGAAAAAATTAAAGGGCAGAGTTCG